ATATATATATGGTCATCCTATTACATGTCACATCCCATGTCAAAAGAAAAAGACCCATGCCCAAATAAGAAGTTAAAAAAGGAGTAAATGGTCTAAGGGGTGTACAATATACATATGATACGCGTTCATCCCTTAGATCACTTCTTTTTTAACTTCTTGTTTTGACATGAGGCTTTCTCTTTTAACATGAGTGTGGCATATGCTCGAACACATATCATCATATGTATACTTATACTTTTTTATATTATGTAACATGTAAATTTATCTTTATCAAACCACTTGTATGATGAGGTGTACTCATCAAGGGCATCCTTTATATATCCATCGTTACTCTCTCTCTCTCTCTCTCTCTTAGATAACCCCTTATTTTATATTCTCTTGTTCTTCTATTAACCAACAATTGGTGATATTCTGATATTCATCGTGATGTCCATGATGATCCTTTCTTGTTGATGGCCATAAGGTCTTCTCCTATCCACACATGACAATTTTGGAAGAAATTAAACAGGATAATAGGTGCAAGAAAATCTACTCATGAATTTCTCCCTAAACCTATTTACCAAATTTAATTGAGGTCTATTGACCTTTCTACCATATTTAAGGAGTCAACAAAATAACCAACAATTTCGCACACTACTGCTATTGAATTTCTCAGTGCTCCTTCAGCAAGCACGTCTACTAATTCATTAGATGTGGTCCACAAATGTCTAAATTTGTCTGACAACTTTGGAGCAAGAGTGATATTTCTTCTCAAAGCTCACCAACTGCTGTGGCTGCATTCAAATTCAGGCTCAAGATAATCTACATTCAAATTCAGGCTCCTGAGAGGTTGATATTTCCATGCATGCATCCAGTGATAAAAAATCAGGACTCGAGTTGGGACTAGCAAGGGTCCTAATCCAAATTCACCTAGTCCAAGTTGGAGGAGTCAAAGTTAGACTGGAGATATTTTTAAAAAGACCACAAAAATAAAGGTAATATTAGAGGTGATTCCAAGGTTTTTCCTCCAGAATCACCAGCATTTTGACATGGGCCGACTCGAGCGAGTCCCGAGTCGGCCCGACACTTTTTTAATCACCATACATCCATTTAGGATGTCAAAGGTTCAAAATTTTCCTCAATATTCTTATCAATACCTCGTATGCTTTCCTTCAATTTTTCATGCATACTTTGGGGCAATGTATTTTCCACATGTACCCATGAGTTTAGCCACTACTTTTCAAATAGTTCATAGTCCAGTTCATAGAAGTTCTCATTCTTCCCATTTTCCCAAAATGTTTACTTCCTGCGTCTTAAAAAAACTTCTGAATATGCATTTTAGAAATGATTTCAACATTAATTATGATGATCATATTGGTCCTTAGTTGAGTCAATATGGTTTATTCAACAGAACGATTAAATAGGTCATCCTTTAACAAGAAGCTAGTCATTATATATTATATATGTTAAGGAACTTGCAAGGAACTCATACTTATTAAGGTAGCTGAAGATGTCTCCAAGGTCAGAACAAGAATTTTGTTCCAACCTACACAAAACCATGAGGAAGACAAAACTAGAAAAAAATTAAAAATAAATTGAAAATTGAAAGAACACAATACAGAAATAATGTGGAAAGAGGAACCATGTTATTCAAAAGTGCTTGACAAGCCAATGGAAGGACAAAGGGAAACATTGTCCATGGCATGCATGGGAAACATGTGGAAAGCACATCTGAATCATGAATGACAACGCAAAGGATGCATGCTTTCTAAAATTTTGCCAGTAACAAAGACCAAGTTTCCACGCTACTACACATGCTGGAAGTGAACTTTTCTTGTTCGCTTTAAAATTAGAATTGGAAGGAGTCAATACATAATTGCATAGCCCTTCATCTTTTACAGAGTTTCTAGCATAAAAAACCACAACAATTTATTTTATGTAATGAGTAAATTGAATAAAAGAAAAAAATCTGAACTCATGAGATATTTTTGAGATCAACATTTCGAGTTACCTTAAAATTTAAAATTTCATTGCTAAAATTTTGAAATCTTTTTTAATAACAAGGAATATTCTAAAATTTTCTAGTGAATATCATAAGAAGAGATAACAGTACAGTGATCCAGTCTTACTCCATTACTATATACACATGGTCATGATCTTCATAGGCATCATAAAATTGCACTAGATTGGTATGTCCAGTCAAAGCTCTTAAAATTTTCACCTCCCTCCTCACATCTTCAATGGCTATGGCTGTGGTCATCTGCCCAAAAGTGAACACTAGGTTCATCAGATATTAAAGGATGCACATCAAATCACAACTTTAAATATTATCAGCAAGGGAACTCTCTAACATGCCTGAACTTGACATAATGGCAATGCATACCGAAAGAATAGCACAAACATGCCTTCAAAATGACGCTTCAGTCATGGACATACATCAAACAAAGACAAACAAGAAATGAAGGAGACGATAAAAAAGAAACAAAGGACTATCTATCACCATTTAATGATGAACTACACTTTGTGAGACCAAGAAACCCCCATACTAGAAACTTACAAGCATCCAAAACATATAAGAACCGAGTCATCAACTTGAAGTACTAGGGAGAATATGAGAAATCAAAGGAGCAAACAAAAGAAGCATCCCCATGAACCATTATGCCTAAAAATGGGGCTCCCCAGCAAAAGCATACTAGTAAATATGCAAAAGAAAAACTATAAAGAAAATTAGTACATGACACAAAGTTCTCAGTCATGGACAAGTAACAAATAACTACAAAATGAGCCTCTATGTCTTCAGAAACATTCTCATCAAATTCTCTTGGGAATCTGCCTTAGTTTGGGCTGGAAAGAGAAGTGCCTAGGTGGTTCAACCTATTCACTAAAGGTCTTCAGGTATTATTTTCAAAGAATAAAAAACAAAAGTAGTTCATTATATATATATAATTGAAACAAAAGAAATAAAAATTGAAAACACTATTGAACAACTGTGACCGTGCGATGAAGTTTGGATGGTAATGAGGGTAGACGAAATCACTGTTCATTTTTGCCTATAGGCGTTTTGTAGTATCTTCCATATATATATATGAGAGCTTCTATCTTATTGTAGTTCGATACTTATAAACTAAAATGTTTTAAAATTAACTTGCGAAAAAAATTTGTATGCCATGTAAGCATGCTTCAATCTTCACATACGATTTACATGACTTCAATAATATTGATCTTGTTTAAGTAAGTTGCATACATTGAAAGCTCCTCTAGCCCTGCTAATTTTGTTTTGTTTGGAAGAATAAGAAACTCCAAAACAGCATGTTCAATCCTTGTATATAGGTCAAGCTGAACCCCATTAAATATAAGCTTTCAAAGATTCATGTTAATCCCTGAGTAAGGAATGCTCGACCCTTTTTAGGAAACCAAATTAAAACTCACTGTATTAAAAATAAACAAGCGACTTAATTAAAAACTCATAAAACACATAATTCCACGAAATATCGGTTTCATATTCACTTTGGTGCGGCTCTAGAGGCCGAAGTCTTCGGCCTCTTCGTACAAAAAGAAATATCCGATAAGACTATTCAAAATATTGAAGTTGAACCAATAATAATATGAAAAGGGGAAAGTGATACATTAAGGGTACTATGGCTCAAAAGAGAAATCGCAGAGAAAAAGGAAAACCAAATATGTTTATAACCACCAAGCATGTTTGGATGCTGCCCCAAAGGATGACTCCACCATGGTCCAGGGAGGCATTTTAGCAATTGGCCCATTTGTAGGTCAGCTGCACAATTATTGTGCTCTTTTTACAAGTGCATACACGTGTAAAAGGCCATCCAGTTCGTGAGTGGGGATAAAAACAGAAATACATGTTTTTATTACAGTCACAAAAGTGACACATTTCATTGAAAATCAAACCACGTTATTACCAAACCATAGATGGCAGGCAAACAAGTGGTCAAATTAGCATTCAAAACCACTACTGCGTTAAACATCAATGATAAGAAAGGAACACCTGCATAGGCCTTCAAATCCATATAATGCAAAAAATTTAGAATTATTCTTTAGATAAAGAGAGGACTTCAAATCCATGTAATGCAGAGAACTTTGAATTATTTATTTAGATAAGGAATTTTGTGAAGTATTGGAATAATGAAAATTGAAATCTAAAAGTGTTAACAATTTTCCAGTAAAAAGAACAGATATGAGCTTGCTGTAGAATTATAGAGGCATTCCCAAGCACCAACGTCCTTCCGGACACAAACATTTTCATAAGCTATTTGATAAAGGCCACTGATTACGCGCTGGCCAACATGGAAGGGTCAGAAAAAGGTTTACTGATCAAGATCCCCCATTACAAATAGATTAAAATGGTGCATCATAAATATGCCAGTGAATTGAACAAATGAATACAAAGCCCCACAAACCTTCCTTTCAGGAATGGATTAATTCATCACCAACTAGCTCAAAACCAGATTGTGCCCATAGAAAGAAACAGATGGCAAACCCAAAACGAGTAGGAGGAAAGTGATCAAACAATCAACACACAAGATTGCTCCCAACCAAGTGAATGCAGTTTACAAAAATGGGAAGAGCAATGGAAAATCCATGATCAACAAGATTTCGACAGCCCAAATAATTTAGGGAAGGGCAAAGAGGGGGGGGGGGGGGGGGGGGAGGGGGTTATTCAGAAATAACTGATATCCCAAAATAGTAACAAGAACAAAAAGGAATAAACACACATTTACAGAGGAGAGAGGAACCATAAATAACTGCAATTCCAATCTTCAATGTCACATAAGATGGAAACATTCATACATAGAGAGAGAGAGAGAGAGAAAGAGAGATGAGGAGGTAGTAGAGACCTTGGCTTTGGGGATGATCTTGACAGCAACCTGCTGGCCCTTGAGCTCACCCTTCTTGAACCGAGCAGAGCACGTATACCCAAAGTGTCCTCGCCCCACTTCTTCTCCAAGATCATACTTGGACGAGAAATGCTTTGAAAACCCGAAACTTTTATCCAACGTGACCTCAGCCTCCCTCCCCTCAGGAATAGCAGCCTCATTTGGCTTCACCGACCCGTGCCTTCGAGCAAGCACCGCTCTAATATGCTTAGCGGGCGACGGGGGAGGGAAGGGACGCTTGAAGAAACGACGAGGCGTAGAGTTAGAATTCACAGGTGAGTTCTTGAATAGGTAATGGTGGGCTGGGCTTGGACTGTAAAAAGGGAAAGGTGAGGGTTTCCCCACTGTTGTGGTATGCACCTCCTCTGATGCTGCACTTGTTGTTGTTGTTGTTGCAACATTTCTCTCTCCTCCTCCTCCTCCTCCTTCCCCATTGATGGAAGAGGGTGGTGGTTGGGCAGTTGCAGGAGGGACCACCTCCTCCAGTGGAGGAGGAGGAGGGTTGGGCTTTCCATGGCAGAGGCCCATCCACCTACTCAACAACTACACTACGAGACGAGCTCCGGTCTCACTCTCTCTCTAACCCTTTAGACTCAATCGGTCACGACTTAGACTATTGATATTGACATGGGGTGAATCTGATTCTCACAGCTTCTCTTGCTGCAAAGATGCCATCCTCTCCCTCTCTCAACTGCACAAAGAAAGAAAGGTAAGAGGAAGAAGAACCCAATCCTGTGGGGCTTGCTTTTTGCAGGCGCACCAGGAAATAGAGAGGAAATCAGAGATGAAATCTGCTTCAAGCTCTCGGGTTCGTTCCCTCTCCAAGCAAGTAAAAAAATAAGAGGGCCCACAAAATAAAAAAATATGCAATTTTTTACCAAAATGATGGTCAAAGAAAAAAGGAATAATTATGTATAAATTAAAGCAGTAATAATTAAGAGTGATGATAAGAGATGAACATAAGACGGTAATGGAATGGGTGGTAATAATTTGTGGCGTCAACGGGCAGCTCAAGATCCCGCCTGGCCCCGCTCTCCACGCCACCACTCGCCTCCCTTTAAATTCCCCTCCAATCCCATTTATTAAAAACCCAATAACTTTCCTCCTAACTTCTAACTATACATCTATTATTTTTTTATTTATTTTTTTTTTTTGGTGCGGTTTTTGTAAGGTTGCAATCTTAAACAATCCAATTAAAGCGTACTTCAAAATTTTATTATAACATGTATTTTTATTGTAAAAAATTTTTAAGATTATCTTAAAATCTATTTTCATATCTAATTATAAAATTTTAAATTTTAAAAATAATTAAAATAAAGTAGATCTATAAAATATATAAAAATCTTGAAAGTAGTCAATCTAGATAATGTGTGGCAAGATCCACTATTTTTTAGACTCAAAAACTTTTTTTTTCATATTCATACATCTCGATATCGAGATGATCAATTAGAGGGTTTTTCAATATTAAAACAACATTTTTGATAGATTTTTGAGGTGTATGATTTTACATTTTATGGTTACAACCATATATAAATAAAAAAAATTCCTTTTTTTTCATGTTGTATAAAAAGCGTATATACAATTTTTTTGTTACATTTATGAAAGTTTCGATAGGTTGAAAGGACGAGTTTAATGAGGTGGATGCCATTGTGGTCCTCCTTTCATACATATATTCGACAAATGGACAAAGACACGTAAGCTAAATATCGAGAGGCGCGCAAATACTTAAAACGAAGCCGATTTGGTGAGGAAGTCCCTCGTGTGTGCCCCTGCTTTTTAGAAAACAATTAATCTCTCCTCCGCCCATGTCACTCTTCCACCACCTATTGGTGTTTTTGGTACTTTTTTTTTTTTTTCAGAAAAAGTCATAGATTTATACATTCATCAAAAACACAAGATAGAAGTTACAACGGAGTATATAATGTTTTGGTACACTGTTAGAAAAATTTTAGGGTAAAATAGGGGTCAAAGAATTTTGGTGAGGAATTTAATGGAAATACAAATAGAGATGGTAGGAATTCAATGGAAAAACAAATAGAGATTAGTAGGAATTTAATAGAAATACAAATAGAGATGGTAGGCTTTCTTGGCTGTAGCCATGGTAAAAGCCCTTTTTTTAAGATTATATTTTGCCCCGTTATTGTTGATAAATTTTAATGTGAGAAAAGGTAGACCAGGCAAGAGAGTCTTCATATACTTGTAAACAGAAGGTCAGCAGAGTTGCCTCAAAGTAGAGAGAGTGTGCATGGTTTTTAGTAGTATAGAAAAATATGAAGAGAGAGAAGGAGGTGTAAAAAAACGGAAAGCTTGAAACCCTATTTATAGAGACTATTCAACCGACTAAGGCCACCTCTGTACTTATGCGAGCGTACAAAGTATAAAGTGTAACATTAAGTGTCCATGCACATTGCCGGTCGTGCATTTTGTGTGCAACCACACTCTCATTTATTCTATGAACATAAGGCATGAGACTATTTCCATCAAATTCTTTATTACCTCCATTTTTCAATACGGGACTAAAACCTACTACTCTCTGTCTAATTATTACAATTGTTATTTTTGGTAATTCATTAGGATCCTATCTATAGTTGGAATGAAAATCAAGACTCCATATTGTAGCAAACCACCACCCTGACATGGTAGGCTGATGCCTAGCTCTGGTAAATCAAGGCTTAGGCAACAAAATGTGGCCATTGTGGTGTCACCACAGCCCAAAGGGCCATGCTTGGGCTAAGGCCAATACAGTTTCAGCTTGGCCCCGATCCTTTTGTAATTTATATTTTTTATTAATTTTTTTTTTCCATTTGGCCTAGTCTATCTAGGCCTTGGGCCAGGGCCGGGCATGGGCCTTCCTATAGGGATAAGGGCCAGAGCTAGACCCACCCATTTCCAGCCCGGCATTGAGAGAGAGAGAGAGAAAATCATTTGTTGGTTGTGCATATCTCTGCCTCCACGCACCACCCCACTCAATCTCCCATGGAAAGTAAGGAGGATACCTTTCTTTTCCGCCTCCTACTTTCCCCCCATTATTAACAATATTCTCAATTCACACACAAAAAAGGAAAAAGCAACCAACCCCACTGAGTCTGAGCGGCTTAGATGAAGGGGGCATATGCTAAGCCAAAAACCACCTCCGTCTTATTCTTATTCTTTCACAGACAAAGGGGACCCCACTTGTTTTTGGTGGGGACTCAACTATTATAACTCCTTTATTATTATTTTCATTTTTCTATGTCGTCTTTACCAACATACGACTAATATTACTCAAGAAAAATTCTTCATCAAATCAATAATAAAGAAATAATAGAGAGAGAAAAAGCCCAAAAGAAAAGCGCCATAACACCTTTCTAGCAACATTTTTTCTTAGCTCCACAGGGTGGTGGGATTTTCATTTTCATTTTTTTTTTTTGGCTCTCTCTCTGGGGGTGGACGTAGAGGATCCGAGGGGGCGATCAGGGGGTAGACATGGGGATGGTGTGGATTCCATTGAACTGAAAAAGGAATCCTTTAAACTGTTGAGAATTTTTATCCTTTTCATCTTTTTGGGGCAAAAACATGTGGGATCGACATATATAACTAATCAAATTATAAATTAGTTTTTAAATCTCATATTTCAAACTAAAATAAACTACTTTACTAAAAAATAAAAATTAAGATATATTTGTATTTTAGAATTTAGATTCTTGCATTTGTGTATAGAAGATAAACTTTATTTATAAGAATTCTATTGTATAGAAGAACACCTTATTCTTTTTATCCCTAATTTCAAAATGGAAAAAAAAAATTATTAGAAAATAAACCACTCATGTAAAAGTTAAAAGAATAAGGAAGAATACATTAACTTTACTTAAAATAAAATTTACAAAAACTACAAAAATTTTAAAAACTTAAAATTATCTTAATCTAGACGTGGAAAAAAGCTTCCTAAAATGATAAATTCATATTTTATTAGGGCAAAAGCTGTTTAAGGAAACTTTATGTACTAGGACTCTAGTGCGCATAGAGACTTCTATACTTTCTCTAAAATAGGAGCGATCTAAAGGATATTGCTAGATTAAACAAAATTGATGCTGTCTATCGCATAATGACAACACATACGTATATGTCCTAATAAATTGAGGAGATCATGCAATTTGTAAAATATAATGGGGATGTATTATATTATAAAGGAGAATAATTTTTATATGCCTTTGATGCAATAGTATACGTCAAACAGTCACGATTGTATTCTGTAGTTTAATTTTCATTTTTTTAACATATCTAAAATAGTTGAAATTTGTAGTGTCTACTTTTTTTTTTTTTAAGGAACACTTAGTAAAATATATAAAATAAATAATTTGTAAAAAATAAATTGAACGAAATACATCTAAAACTTTTGAGGGTATTTTTGGTCAATTTATTTTTAAAATATTTTTGTCATATACCGCTAATTTTTCAAGAGTAGACGCTTCAAATTTCAAATGATTTGGATTTGTTGAAAAAAATTTAAAAGTCAAATATAAAAAATGATTGTAGCCATCCGATCGGCCCATATTGAATATGGGATATTGTATGTACTATTGCATCAGCCACTTGTGACAAAATATTTTTCTAATATAAAAATATATATGTATTTTATTATCTATATCCATACTATCTTATTAAGCCAAAGATGAGGGGGTCCATACGTATTGCATGATTAAGAAAGGAATCTAATACTATAAAGATTATAGGATTGTTAACTTTTTGTAGTATATGACCTGGCAGCCAAGCCCGCATGTTAGAAATGCGAGCCTATTAATCAATTTATTTTTAAGATAGATTTTTG